TACAGTCACTTTAAACTTAACAACCTTTATAACACATGCTCTAAATCACAGTGATTCACACACTTTATTTACGGAGCCTACTGTTCGTTTGACTCAGTTATCTATCTCTTCAATCTATCTGCCGATCGTGGTGGTTTTTCTCACCAGGCTTATATATTAAAAAGAGGGTGTCTTGAATGCACTCGGGCCTTCATGATCCTTCTAGAAACTCCAGTGCGTATGCTCCTAGCGTTGCGTGACTTTTGCTGTCGTAACAGTATTATAATTGATTCCAGTGACATGCAACTACTGTATTACTTGCAGTGAATATCTTGTGTAATTTATTGTTTAAAGTGAAAAAAAAGTAAACTTAAAACAGTGTTAGGTTGATTGCTAGTTTACTATAGTATTTTTGAATGTAACTGTTATTTGTTATCTTTTGGTGTTTAGGTGACCCTTATGATGTTTGTGCTATTTGTCTAGAGGATTACAAGGAAGGAGAGAAGCTAAGAATACTACCATGTTCACATGGTAAGTCAAACGTTAAGAACTTCACCTGAATGGTACTTCATGTTTAAAAAAATAACCACAAGCCTGGCCCACCTACCTAGCTTGCACTTATTGAAATACCTAAAATTAAACAAGAACCACTTCCTAATCATGGTACATCATACATTAAAACACCAGATGGGTAATCACAGGCCTTGCCTATCTACCATATAGTTTTAAAAATCTGCTGATGTCAGAAGGTTGAATATTGTTAAATCAGTTGTGAAAGTCTAAAACTGAGTATCTCACTTTAACTTCATTCTATTGGAAAACAACCTTCTCTCTCTCTGCCTATTTCTCTTGAGCTAAATCTGAACTTCCAGCCACACAAACTACAAAGATAAACTATGGGCTGTCTGTGCTATAACCCACTGTGGATATCAAAATTCAGATTTTAGCATTATAAACCCTCAAACTTTTTTAGCCACCAAGGAACATGTGAGAAGTGTGTATTTAACAAACATTATTGTAAGTAAAAAGGTCAATAAATGAAAAGAAACTCCAGGAATGGGGCTTGAATCAAGAATTTTTGGCTAACAGAGGCAATGCTTTATTTGACTGAGCTATCCAAAAGTACAAGCAGTCTCTGTCTCCCTTCACTCGTAAGACTTTTACTATGAATATGAAACTTCATACTACTTTTTGTTATATAGATCAGGCAATAAATAGGTTAATTTACCACCACCCAACCAAATCATAGAAGTCTAGCTGGACTCACATATGTATTTTTATCTATATTTTCAATTCAAATTGGCCACAAAAAATAATGTAGAGAACTTTGCCTCCAGTTGTCACATGAGATAATTTTGTCCAGCAGTTTGGATTTTTGTGGTTGTTTATACCAAGTTTACATATTTTTCTGTTTCTCACTGGTACGTTTGTATTTTTATAATAAATTTACACATGTTCTAAAGAACACTAATGAAGTAATGGATTTATAATATAATTATTTGACTTTTTTTTCTATTTTGGCACTTGCTCTCAAAGCAAATCAAGCAGAAAGATTTGAAGGAATATCCATTTGATAAAGTTATTTGTTGAAAGGGTTCAGAAATTGGTAATCATAAAAAAAAATCAGTGTAGAGAATTAATTCATTGACTAGAAATAGCACATCACTGATTTTTTATAAATAATTTTTTTTATTAATCTGCTCTGCACTTTCTTGGTTGAAATACATTTATTAACATTAATATAAATCCAGTGATTTCATTTTACCTGTAACTGTTAAATTAACTTGTTAAAGTGTAAGTTTTTGGGTTTTTTATAGCCTACCACACCAAATGTGTTGACCCCTGGCTAACAAAGAATCGTCATACCTGTCCAGTGTGCAAGCGCAAGGTCATTTTAGAGGGCCATCAATGTGACTCTGATAGTGACTCAGATCATGATTCTTCAGAAGAAACCACTCCTTTGCTGCATCCCATTGACAGGCAAAGCAACACATCTAGTGTTGGAGGAACCTTCTCTGAACCCATGCCAACTCCTCTTTACATCCAAGCCAATCAAGCTGGTCTAACTAGGATTGCCCATGATGAAGAAACCACTCAGACCACTGCTGTGCCTCCAGAACCTCAGACCACGCAAGTAGAGTTGCATCATTCCACAGAAACAGTTGGAACAGACCTTGCTCCCACATCTTTGTATCCTGCTGCTCATCATTCAGTTAATGGAGACAGACCAGAACAAGATAGTGTTGAAAATCGGAGCCCACTTCAAGGAGCTAAGGCCAAAAAGCAATTGGAATTGGTGGTATGAGTCTAAAAGCAGATTTAAATGAGTGAGTCAGTGACAAATAACCATACTCTACTGATAATCCATGTTAAAAGGAATAAACTTATTTGTTAGTAAAACAACTGTTTTTTTAAAACAGAAACAAAAAGGTTTCAGTATTTTGTAAGAAGTTTACTTATCCCTCTAAAGGACTCCTTACATTTCATTTTATTAAATTATGCTGTTTTTACCTGTTTTATTTACTTCATAAAGTTTTGATGTTGGTGTATGAGGTTCAGTTTTTGTCATGCTGTAAGTTTGAAAGCAAGCACGGAAAGATTAAGTGATGGACAAGCATATTTATGTATACTTCCTTGAGAGTAAAATTAGAAAAATTTCAAATCTAGCTGAATCAACGAGGCACTGTTATTGTTATCATTGTCACCAGCTTACTTGTATAAATATGTGAACAAAATTTTGGTTATTGGGATTAAATTAGTTTACTAAAGTGCTTAAAGATAGTTGACTTAAGATGTTATAAAATATATTTTATAATATAAAACTTGTAATATTACAGTTTAGTTTTTGTTAATAATTAAATGGAAGTGATAATAAAATATTCTACATCTGTTTAACCATTTAAGATATTTAGGTCCGTGATACAAAATGACAAGATTTAGAAAAATTACTAGTACTGTTGTATCATTGTCAAATTTCATATTTGCATGTACAGAGACTTGTTTTTGATTGCTGTGCTAGTTTGCTGTTTTACAATGAATAAATATTTATGAAGAATTGTTATTCATTAAATTTTATGCAACAAAGTATTGTTCAATTAGTCATGATATGTTCAATGTTGACCATGTACTTCCCTAATATCTTACATTGTTAAACATCTTATGTTAATCTTTTTCTCCTGATGAAATGTTAGGCTCTGAATGTTGTTTTTTTTATAATTCACATGTTACTGAACTGGATTGCTTGATCACTAGCTTTTAAGCAGAATTTATAATTATTAGTCTATAAGAATATTAATGTAATATTTGCAATTAATATAATCTATTTAAGTAAGTTGGAATTCTGGTCATGGTTGCTGTATATGAATTTGCCAAGTAAAAACTTTTTTGTGATTGGCAAAAATTTTAATTTTAATCATATAAATTCTTTACACAGTAAGTAAACTATTGTTGAAGGTTTTGTCGGTAGTCACTTCAGATTTTCATGTATTCATGCTTTAAGGTCTATTTATAATACTAGCAACTGCAAAAGAAGATAAGACCATCACCTATGTTATAATTGTCATTTAATTAAAATTATATATTCCATTGAAAAACAAGAATTAATACTACAGATCCCATTGTATTTTCTGAAATGTACAGATAATTAATACCTTAAACTAAAAAATGACATGTATTATTGTAATTTTGTATGTAACACTAGAGTCTCTTTAACATATGGCAATATCTTAATACAGTTGGTGAAGAATACTACTGAGTATACAAATTATGAATGACCTGTGATGTATAGTTTGATAAATATATTAAAGAAAACAAAATGTTGTGATTAACTGTGTGTGTGATTTGTCTCAAATTTCTCTTCATACACCTATGTTTTATAGAAAGTAGTCTGAGAAATGTTTCAGCATAGTGCTCTGAACTCTCAGTCATTTATCAGTGATGGGATGGAACTTAGAAGTATCAGTGACAGTAATATTTTATGATAAGTTGGTAATACTTGACGTGTTGGAGAAATTCTGGTTGACACATGTTGTTGTTCTTGGAGTGTGTACTAATATCATATCTTAAACTGAGAAATTTCTGATTTATAAATACAGTAATCTCTTCTTTGTATGCTCTGTGTAAAAGTGTGTTAAAAAATATTCATAAACTAAAAAATGAGTTGATGTCTGTTTGTATTCCAGTGTAAAATTGCTGTTAAACAGGAAAATCAGTTGTTTTTTTTTCAATAATTTCATTCTCTGGTATTTTTATCTGTACCCCAGTTATATATGCAATCACACACACACACACACACACACACACACACACACACACATATATATATATATACAGAAATGGACAGAGAAGGAAAGTACTCCTGAAGAAAAACTAGGAATGATTGCTGAATTCACTCAACATTTTGGAGAAGCGACTCATTATGAGTGATTTCCTTTTCCTGCTCTTTTGTAATTTCTTCCCAATTGTATAAGAGAATACATTCATATAAAAATAAAACACTACCAAATGAGATGCAAGGATATATTTATAAGGTATTTAAAGTAAAAGAGCATAATAAAAAAAAAATTCACATGGTATAAAAACACTAAGAAATATAGTAAGATACATTTTATATGTGTGTGTACACCCAAAAAAATACATTTCATACCATACTCGTACTTGGGGATTTTTTTATTATTATTTGCTGACAACAATTTTGGTATCAACAATGCACTGGTTTGTAAAATCGGTGTTTTGTCATGTACTAGCAGAGTTTAGCAGATTGATTTGATTAATATCTAATCTTCCATGTTTTATCTATTCTTTTTTTCCAATTTTAAGCTTGTTTTGATCGACTTGTAAGATAAATTATTCTTAATAAAAAACTTAAGATGTTCAAAGTATTACTTGCAACAGTCCCAATGACACAAATGTAAAAACAGTCCTGCAAAATTGTATGAAAGCAAGCAGAAAAATTATGTATGTATAACAAATTTCTTAGGCTATGTTAATAAAGCATGCTGCTTTAAATTGAGTAATAAAAAGCTTTTCATTTTGTATCTATAATGGACCACCTGTCCAATTCTCAATTAGTTGTAGTAGCTTTTGTTTGTTTGTACCAAACTCACACTGTACTATGATTCTCAAAAAGTGACACCAATAGTTGCATTTGTTCAGAAACTATGTGATAAACTCGTGCTTCGCGTACGGTGTATGTACTAAAATTAATTTACTACTCGAACATTGTGTAGCAAAATAAATTTTTTTAAATGGATTGAATCCTCGACCTTCCCCATACGAAGTATAGTTTTAAATATACATATATTTAGCTATTTCTAAAGTAAAATATCCCTAACACCTTTTTCGCATACATTGTAGCCGAAATGATACGCTTACATAGAGAAATAGACCCGGATGACCTTCATGACGTCACTAAACTCCTTTTATATATATATATATGTGTGTGTGTGTGTGTG